AATTTAAAAAGTGGTCTAAACAAATGTTTCTCAAAGAAAGAAATGTACGTGATTAATAAAAGTAGGAAATTGTACAATAGCCTCAGTCATTGGGAAATACATACCAAAAACTTGGTGAGATATCATTTCATCTAAGTTAGAATGACTGTTAGGAAAAGGCACTCTTTATTGTGTGTGTGTATATATATACATACTGACAAGCATGTGGCAATAATGGTTCTTTTCAACGCTGTTAGAATTTTAAACCACAATGGACGATAGTATGAGAATTCCCGAGAAAAGTAAAAGTGAACTACCACAGTATCAAACTCTGTTGTTACAATCTAAAAGAAATAAAATTAGTGTGTCAGCATAAGAGATGCCTTCATACTCATGTTTACTGTAGAGTTTTTCACAGTAGTCAAATCATGGAATCTGCATTGGTTATCAGAGAGGATGGAGGAAAGAAAATGTACTATGTGTACACAATTTCTTTCCTGTTTGTGGAAGGGAATGGCATGTGCCTGTTTAGCTGTTCTTCAGCTGAGGCACGCGTGCCTGTCCCATGAGGAGGTACAGCACAGGGAGCTTCCTGCAGCTGGATAGCAGCTTTAGGAACTTCTTCCTAATGTGGTGGCGGCTTAGTTTGCATTTGTTTGGTGTATAGGGTATAGGATTCTATACATGGAGAGGGACTGGATGAGGCTCTCAAAGTCAGTCTCCTTTCTGTCTCTCACCCTCCTCCTCTCTCCATTCCTTTTTTTCATATTTATTTATTTACTTTAAAACATTTTTTTTATTTCGCATATCAGTCCAAGTTCCCACTCCATACCCTCCTCCCACTTCCCCACTTTCTCCCACCAAACCCCCCTACCACTACTCAAAAAGGATAGGGATTCCCATGGGAAGTCTACAAAATCTGTCACATCATATTGAGGCAGGACCAAGGCCCTCCTCCCTGTACCTAGGCTGAGCTAGGTATCCCTTCATTGTGAACGGGCTCCAAAAAGCCAGTTCACACATAAGAGATAAATCTTCGTTCCACTGCCAGTGACCCTATAGACTGCTCAAGCCATCCAATTGTCACTCACATTCAGAGGGTCTAGTTTGGTCGTATGCAGGATCCCCAGATGTCATTACAGAGTCAGTGAGCTCCCACTATCTCAAGTCAGCTGTTTTTGTTGGTTTCTCCATCATGGTCTTGACCCCTTTGCTCATAACATGGCTTCTCCCTCTCTTTGACTAGACTCTGTGAGCTTGGCCTAGTGTTTGTCTGTGGATCCCTGCATCTGCTTCATCATTTGCTAAATGAAGACTCTATGGTGACAATTAAGGCGGTCATCAATCTGATTACAGGGGAAGGCCCATTCAGGTACCCTCTCCACTACTGTTTAAGGTCTTAGCAGGAGACATGCTCATGGATTCCTGGAAAATTTCTCTATTGCTAGGTTTCTCCATAACCTCATAATAGCTCTCTCAATCAATATGTCTCTTTCCTTGTTCTTCTTCTCTGTCCTTCACGAGTCTCGGTCATCCCATTCCCTCATGTCCTCCTCCTCCCGTTCTCCCCTCCCAATCCATCCCCATATCCCCAATTTACTCAAGGGACTTTGTTTATTTTCCCATACCCAGTATGTCTCTCTTGGGATTCTCATTGTTCTCTAGCTTCTCTGGGGCTGTGGACTGTAAACTGGATATCCTTTGTTTCACATCTAGTATCGACTTATGAGTGAGTACATACTGTGTTTGTCTTTCTGGGTCTGGGTTACCTCATTCAGGATGTTCTCTTCTAGTTCCATCCATTTGCCTGTCAATTTCAAGATGCCATTGTTTTTTTTTCACCGCTGAGTGGTACTCCATGTTATGACTCAAATCGTCTTAACCGACCTCTATAAAATATTTTATCCAAACACAAAAGAATATACCTCCTTCTCTGCACTGTATGAAACCATCTCTAAAACTGACCACTTATTCTGTAACAAAGCAAACCCCAACAGATAAAAAAAATTAGAATAAGCCCCTGTATCCTATTGGATCACCATGGCTTAAAATTAGAATTCAACAACAACTCTAATTTCAGAAAGCCTTCAAACTCATGGAAATTCAATGATGCTCAGCTGAATCACCCCTGGGTCAAGGAAGAAATAGAAAGAAATTAAAGACTTCTTAGAATTCCATTAAAATGAGGACACAGCATCCCCAAATCTATGGGACACTATGAAAGCACTACTAAGAGGAAAGTTCATATCAATAAGTGTCTACATAAAGAAAGTGGAGACATCTCACGCTATTGACTTAATAGCACACCTGAAAGTTCTAGAACAAAAAGAAACAAACTCATCCAAGAAGAGTAGATGACAGGAAATAATCAAATTGAGGGCTGAAATCAATAAAATAGAAACAAAGAAAAACAATAAAAAAATCAATGAAACAAAGAGCTGGTTCTTCGAGAAAATCAACAAGATAGACAAACCCTTATCCAAATTAACCAAAAGGCAGAGAAAGAATATCCAAATTAACACAATCAGAAGTGAAAAGGAGGGCATAACAACAGACACCTAGGGAATCCAGAGAATCATTAGGTCATACTTCAAAAACCTGTACTCCAGAATATTGGAAAATGTAGAAGAAAGAGACAATTTTGCTGGGTAGGTACCATATACCAAGTTTAAATCAAGACCAGACAAACAATTAAAACAGACCAATAATCCCTAAAAAAAAATAGAAGCAGTCATCAAAAGTCTTCCAACCAAAAAAAAAAGCCCAGTGCCAAATTGTTTCAGTGCAGAATTTTACTAGAACTTCAAAGAACTGATGACAATGTTCCTCAAATTGTTTTATAAAATAGAAACAAAAGGAACCTTGAAAAACACTTTTTATGAAAATATTGTTATCATAATACCTAAATCTCAAAGGTTCAGCTAAGAAATAAAATTACAGGCCAATCTCTCTCCTGAACATTGATACAAACTATTCAATAAGATACTGGCAAACCAAATCCAAGAACACATCAAAAATTTATCCACCATGACCAAGTAGGCTTTATTTCAGAAATGCAGGGATGTTTCTACATATGAAAATTCTGTCAATGTAATTCACCAGAAAAGCAAACTTAAAGAAGAAAAAACCCGCATGATCATCTCATTAGATGCTGAAAAAGCCTTCGACAACAATCCAACTGTTTGACGATAAAGGTCTTGGAGAGATCAGGGATACAAGGAACATATCTAAACTTAATAAAAGCAACATACAGCAAACTGACAGTCAGCATCAAATTAAAAAGAGAGGAACTCTCCCCATTCCTCACTCTGCTCTTCCCTCCCACTTTAGCGCTTTGACCCTCAAATCAGTGTTTGCCATCAATGTGTCCAGTGACTTCACTGCTGTGTTTGTTATTGTCACACTCCTATCATTACCGGAGAGCTTGATTTCCCTTCAGCTGGCCACTTCCTGATCAATTAATACTAATTTACCATTGTTAGTGCTCTTCTCTGTCGTGTATTTCTTTCAGCTCCCTATTATTTTTCTGAAATTCCTATTCTGTAATGAAGGGAGTTGGCTTTTGGAAGCATCCCAGAACCTTTGACCTATGATTTACAACATATACTTAATGACATAAAAGAAAACAAACAAAAGACCATTTTTTGAACATCCCCCAGAGACTTTCCCCATTGCCATCTAATTTTAGATGGTTTCAGTTCCTGCTGGTGGAGGTCCTGGAAACTGCTCTTTCGCACAGCGCTGTCAAGTTTGCAGAACGTGTGGCCGCTTATGGGCCTAATGTTGTGTTTGTGGTGTGTGCCGCTTAACCTTTCCCTTTAAAATTTAATCAGTATGAGAGGAAATAAACACTCTGTTCCCATTGTGCATTGGGAGTGATATCCTCCTCCATTTCCCCAGTGATAACCAGGTTCCAGATGGCTGCCTTTACTGCAAAGAATCAGGTTGACTCCCAAAAGGAGCATGCCAATGATTTCTACCAGGCAGAAGGTAACTGCGTCTGAGATTGAACCAAAGGCCAAGCCCTTATTTCGGACTGTTTGCAGGACTCACAAGTCAATTTGGGGATGCAGTAGCTCATGACAAAGAACTGGTAGTTGATATTTTAACGAAAAGAGAATTCAGAAGGAAAACATTTTCCTGGGAAAGAGATATGGAACTTACGGAGCAGAAGACTACTAGCGAAACCTAGAATTTGAATTTAGAAGTTGTGTAGAACAATATTTGACGAGGCAATTAGAGGAGTGCTGAATCTCATTATGCACAACCAACTACTCTTGCTAAGCTTTCGCCTGTGCCATGTGCAAACAACAACCCAAGGCAGCTCTTCTGGAAACAACTGTCAGGAATTTCATGCCTTCTTTTGGCTCATCAAGAGAACCTAACATCACTAAATAACAACAACAATCTCTATTCAGATTGCTTATGACACATCATTGCTCAGACAGATATTTAGTTCATATATTTCTCATATTTGATGAATCTACATTTGGTGACATGAGAGCTAATATCAGAAGTTTTCCTTATTAACCTTAGAGGAGTAATTAGCGGGAGAAAGTGATTATTTCAAGGACTCTACTCTCTACATAGTTGGGTAATAATCTCATATATTCATATATTCTCTCCTCTCTTCCTTCTTCCCCTCTCCCCCTCAAATTCATATCAATCATTAGTTAAAAAGGGGTCTCATGTAAGGTAGGTATAATAACTCTTTAATTATATGTTGAGAAGTTTCTTTTCCATCCGAATATCTTTATCAGTGACTAAATTCATTTTTAAAGGAAATTTAGCAAATGGGACACAAATCTAAGACTCATTTTTACTCATATATACAATATTTGGCCAATTTTGTATATATAATTTGCATGTATAAATTTTATTCATACATGTAGGACTACATTAAGTGTTTGCACATTATAAACTTCAACAGAGATACCTCATGTTTAACTTGTTTTTGATGTTTTTGAAATAAAGAGTTGATGAATAAAAGCATTTTGAAAATATAAGTGCTGACCACTTACTAATTTATGAATGGATTTAATATTATTTAATATATTAAAACAATTATGTTTACATGAGATTACTACATTATGTTAGTAGGCCACTTAACAAAATTATCTTGTAAGGTGGCCTGTTCTTAAGTGCTGAAACCATTAAAGCCCATGAGTTTAAATAACTTGCTTAGTCTCACAAAGTAAAGCCAAGTTCACGGTTTCCATGCTGGGAGCACCAAACCACCTTTGCTCTTCTTCTGTCACTGTCTTCTGCACACACAGCATACATGTGAGGGAGGTGTACAGCTCAACACATGTGCTCAGTCCTGCAAGCACTGCTGACAGGAAAGGGGCTTGCTGGGGCTTGCTGGAGTCATGCTGTACACAGCTAACTCCACGTTCACTGGGTGCTGTTCCTTTGTTCCAGGACTGTTTAGATTCTTCTCCGCCTACATTCTGTTCCATCTTACAACACTAGATAAGAGGAAAAAGTTATTGCAGTTTAAAAAGAATGACAAGAAAATCACGTACACATATAAACATACACACATATACACACTTAAGCCTTCGGATCGTTCCTCAGGAAATTGGATAGCTTCTCCCTATAGCTTCCTCACAGATAGTGGGTGTGACATGAAGCCTGCTTTCCTTTTTTTTATTAAGATTTTTAAACACAATCTTTTCTCATCTTCCATAGCTAATCACAGTTCCTCTTCCCTCGCCTCCTCCTGCCCCACCTTTCCACCCTCCCTACCCCCCACATCAACTCCTCAGAGTGGGTAAGGAAGCCTGCTTTCTTCATTTCAGTATGAATAATGAAGGACAACCAGAGAACATCCGATCTTCTGAGAAGAATTTGATAAACTTTTCAATCCACTGTGGCAACTCACACAGAGAAATAAAACACCAGTGTGTTTCGGTTTGGCGTTCCATCCCAAAGCTGAATAGTTATTGTGGGCAGCCAGGCCTGCCATTGCACAGAAACCAGAAAAGAAGCTCATTTTACTTATTATATGTTATTTTGCTTCATTGTCTGTCTGGAAGTATGCTGCATGAGTGTGGGAGTCTGCAAAGGTATCGGTATTCCTGGCCTTGGAACTCCAGGTGGTGGTGAGCTGTCTGAAACGGGAGTCAGGAACCACACTTGGGACTTCATGAGCACTTTTCACCTCAAAGTGAGGCATTGATTCCATCTCTTCATCTAGATGAACTCTAGAAAAGTGAAAACAGACAGTTACATGCGGACAAAATCCAAAAGTAATGAGAAATTCCTGTGAAAACTTCACTTGAGTATCCAGTGTCGTATTTGCTACTTTGTTCTTATGGACCAAGACAAGAGGATTTTCTGCCTCTTGAATGAATTGCCAGTGACCAAGGAACTGCTGGGATCCAGATTAAGAGAAAAGGTCACTCTGCTACTTCCTGTCTTTCAATCAAGTGCAGAAGTGGACGTTCAGTACCTCTTCCTGTTCCCGCATCAGAAATCCTCATCCTCCTGGCCCAGAGACAACTTTTCCTGATACAATTTTTTCATAAATAACAAATCAATAGGGATTTTTCCTTCAGAGACCCAAATGCTAAGAAAATAGGAGCTAGTTTCACTGATTTTCCTCAATTGCCTATTCTGTTTGTTTTGTTTTGTTTCTAGACCGGGTTTCTCTGTAGCCTTTGAGCCTGTCCTGGATCTAGCTCTTGTAGACCAGGCTGGCCTCGAACTCAAAGAGATCCGCCCGACTCTGCCTCCCAAGTGCTAGGATTAAAGGTGTATGCCACCACCGCTTGGCCAATTGCCTATTCTAAAATAACCATTGTGAGCACAGTCACGTATTAAATCATCTTTCTGCACAGATATTTTATCCATAATATAAAAGAGAATCACCAATGAAAACAGCTCCTTGTGCAAATGTCTGTTTGCCTTCCTTTGGCAGACACTGGTGTGGAGCTGACCTAGTCTGGCAAACTTGAGAGCAAATGATGTAATCAAAATTATTTGTTCAAGATGACAACAATGATTTTTAAATTCAAATTTTAGAGAATTAATTTAGAAACATTGTTTGTTCTAAAAAAAATCTACAGTTCAACCTCCTGCTATTCATTACTCAGTAATAATTTTTATGTATGAAACAAACATATTTTATACCCTTTATTATTTATCAAAGAAGATATAATTCAGTGGTTGAGCACTTGTTGGGCATGCCTGAGGCTCTGGGTTAAATACTTAATACTAGCAGAAGAATAAGTAAATAAACAAGAACCATGGTTTATCTAATTGTCAATTTCTACATGTATTCATAACTCTTCTCTTCATTCGTAACTCTTTATGTATTCAATAAAGACTTTTAATTGCATTAATTTCACCAATTTTTATAATCTTCAGTTTACTAAAGACTCAGCTTACCGTTAGATGCTTATATTAAGCACATGCTCTGCGTGTCTATGGAGTTTAGACATAAAAGCTAGTTCGTTTCCCACAGATCCAGTTTTCAATCTGGTAGAAATTACATGAACTGCCAAAATGCCATCAATTCCCTAGGAAATAAGTCACTGAAACATATCATTTTCTCTTCTGAATATTTCATTAGTTGCTGAAGTTGGAAAATATTCCCTATGGCATTTTACTGTTGTTTGTTAGTTATTTGGTCTTTATTAGTTCCTCATAGCATAAGTTCTATGTGTAGACAATAAGTGCTAAGAAAGCTTCTCTTTGAAACTCAACTAAATAGGAAAGTTCTTAGTACGTCTGATGCAAGGCTTTTGTTAGGTATTGTTTGTAGATTAGTGAGCGTTTGCTACACATACATGGTTCTTACCAACCCATAAGTTGAAATTAGCAGTATATATAAATATATATGCATGTATATTTATACGCACACATATTCACACATATATTTATATTTATATGTGTGCATATACTTATATTTACATATAAATGTATATATATACTGTATGTAGATATGTGTATATATGATTATATCCGTAGATAAAAACTAGTTCCTATAGAAACATATATGTGGAAAAAACATATGTGCCACATAATTTTTATCATGTGAGCAAAGCAGCAAAATATGATAAACATTCTAGAGTAGAGAGTTATTTAAACTTGTGGAACAAACTATATTTTAACATTAACAAATCAATAGTTACAGTGAACATACTTTCAACTCCTTATATTGAATTAATTTTAACACTTTGACATATGTGTTAAAATTTGAACTTGGGTGGCAAAAATATGGGTTATACAGTAAGATTGATTTTATCCCAGGAAGAGGGCATTTATAAGAATGAAGGCATTTAGTAGAACCGATATATCAAGATGACCTGATGATCCTGGCATCCGAATCATTTGAACATGAGTCCACATATAAGGGTTACTGAAGGGGCCAGAAAGATCGACCCTTGTATCAAATGACACATCCTCTCTCCATCTTATTTCCTGCGAGATATCTTTGACTTTTTCTATATGTGGCATATCTGTGATAACCAAGTGTCTATTAGGAAGGAAATTGTAGCATGTTGGGGTGACTTTTCTTTAGGAACTGAAAAGTGGAAGTGTGGAAGTCTATTGTTAAGGCTGAAAGAACGGCCCCAACAGTGTTAACAATGTAAATTCTGTGTACAGGACATGGAAAAGAACACATATCAAGATATGACAACAGACTTGTTATGAATCATGTAGGTAAAGCCAATAGTTAAGGTGCCAAACTACTGAGAACTGCGTTCATTCGAGTAATGTCTATAAACCCAAGTCAAATAAAATTATCTGTGCTATTACTAAAAGAGAGAGAAATTGTATATAATGAAGGCACTAGGAAATATTTGACTGCTAGAAAACCTTGCAAGTAGAAGACAGCATTCCCTGTCCAGTACTATTTGATTGTCTGATTTCTGAGTTTCACTTATCCCCTCCTCCGTTTTCTAGAGAGTAGAGTAATTTGGCTACTAGTGAATAAAAAACAGTAAGATGTAAGTAGTGGTGGCAGTAACTGAATCTGTTCATGAAAAATGGTAATGAACTTGGCTTGATACCGTCAAAGAAATTCTGACTGTCCTTCAACCCAGAGTTTACCATAGTAAATTATCTTTCAGTGTTAAAGGGATAGAGAACTCCCTTGAAAAAGTAGAATGTATCTAGTAGTTTCTTCTGCAGACAGAGGAAGCTGTGCAAATTACGGCCGGTGGGGAGTAGGTGAAGTGTAAAGCATAGAATCCAAGGAATGTCCCTGAGGAACAATTTCTACTTCCTACCTGACAGATGGTCTTTGTCACCACTGTCTGTACAACAGGAAGCCTCGACCTTAAGTAAGAGAGGCACACCCATGGTCAGTAACACTGGAGGGTCCTGGATCCTTTCCATGTGGGTGAGAAACCGAATACCTGTTTACAGCATTATGTTGACGCTCATGCCGTGGGAAGCACTGTCATCTCCTACTAGCCACAAATATGCTGACCTTGATACATTTAGCGTTTTAAAATATTCAATGACCTTTATTCAATTTTGTAAAATTTCACTCCTAAAATGTGGAAATTCCCCTTTTTACAACTTCAATTTTTTTTTTACCATCTCAGATACTTATTCTTTATCAGTAGGTTATTATTGATGATCATTTCTTCTGGTAAACATTTCATACAGCTGGGAAGAGCTTACACACTAAATGTATGCTAGAACTAGATACAGAGTCAAATGATCTTCAGTTTATCAGATTGTAAATATTCTTAACTAAAAAATAAAAAAATGATATCTATCTAAAATTTTTATGAAAAGCAATTATATTAATTAGTATTTTATAAAATTACTAGGTAAATACGTTTCCCACTAAGTTGTAAATAGAATTTGACCTATCAAAAATGGTCCTAATTGACAGAATTCCAGAGTTACAGATGAAATGCTAGAATTAATGCAGATTAACTATGGGATAAAGACAAAATTGTATACATACACAAAGCACTGGCCTTAGTTTGATGAGGGACAGACTGATTTAATTGTTCATTTAAATGTTTCCACAGAGAAATTAATGCCTATATAAAAAAGACTGCATGTAAATTCCTCAAAATCTAGAGTTATTATACAATACAAAAGAGACATAAACATGTCATTTGATTTCAATAGAATGCAACACCATTTAGTTCTGATTCTTGTTGAGCTCAAGTGGGTGGCTTTTGATACTTATTGTGGGGCACATTAAGAGTCACAAAGTGGCAGCCCATTTGGGGAGAGTTTGTTTCTCATCACAAAAAGAGCCTTGGCTTTCAGATTTAACACTAGAAAAAAAGAGCCAGTCAACATTTTAATTTTAAAAAGTTTAAAGATAATTTTATTTGTCAGATTGGTGTCATCATATAAATGATGTTAGTAATGAAACAGTATACTACCTGGAAAACCCTTCATGAGAAAGAATAACGTTGAAATTAGTGCTGAATTTTATGAGCATTCTCTTCCTTGGTTATTAAATTACTGGATTAAATGTCCAGTGCCTTTTTTGAGAAAAAACTGTTAAGAATTTCACTTATCTTTACACAACTTTAATCATTTACAACTTACTTTTCTAAATAACTACTAAATATCAATTGTGTCATAAATAAGTAACAGTTTATGTAAAGCTGATATTAGAAAAGGGGAGAATGCAAAAGAAATCATAGCCCCAGCATCTAGAATAATAGACTGAGTCTATTTAAGATGTATTAGGGGAATTTGGCTAAAGATATGTATTTATTTTAATTACTTTGGTTACTAGAGTGGGTTTCTTTCAACCTGGCATGAAATAACTTGGTAGACTATTTCATAGTTGAGATTTTATATAGTAGTATGGCTATTTTAGTACAGAAAAGTATTTAATTTCTGCATCACAGAAAGTAGGTTCAAACTATTTGTAAAGTGATGAAATTGTCAAGACCAGTTTGTCCTTCAGTCTTTGCCTGTGAAGGAGGCTATGGGAGTTGTTGGAAGTGATATGCCTGCTGGCATGTTCCAAACAAGAACCAAACTACAAAGACCAACATGGATACTAAGTAACTAGGCTCAAACACATACAAATG